CGAGCAATACTTTGTCTCATAAAGTCGTTGACTTCTTGTTGAGATACGGGTTGATTGGAATTCCATGATGTACAGGCAAATTCTGTAACCCAAACAGAATATTGATTACCAGTCTCTTGCCGAACTCTGGTAATCCAATTGATGAAATTATCGACACCTCGGCCATACCAATGTAAAGCAAGGAAATCAATTCGTCCACCGATTTTATTCAATTCATTGAGAAATTGTTTTATCCAATTGAGTCCTTGATCAGTCGAGGCAATAGCTGGTGAACCAAGTCGAGCACCTTGAGCTCTTAGAGGTTCAATATATTGTTTCCAAGCGTAGGCAGCGTCTACTGGACTCATATTTGCTTGCTCACCACGTTCTGGTTCATTGAAACCAAGAACAGACTTTGCACCTTTTGCTAGAGTGAGAAATTGATTTCCATCATGACCTCTATTTGTACTCCATAACATTGGAACGAATTCTGCACCAGCAATATCAGTTCTCCAAGGTGACCAATTGTAAACCCAGGAGATTTTTCCACCGGTAAAAATATTCGGTGAATCTTGCTTATTTTCCAATGGCCAGGCAATACCTCGCTTATTTGATCTAGAATTAAAGAAAGAATTAATATCACTTTTCTTTTAAACAACAGAATTCTTTTCTTTCTAATAAAACAGAAAAAATTCTACGATTTGTTTCTACAATGAAGAAATAAAATGCAATGATGCCCTCATGCTTCTGTTACTTCTCAGTATTAGAATCGTTTCAAAACTGAGTACATCCGATGCATTTTTTGCCTCAGCAACTTGAATATCGGATATTTATGAGAGAAAAATTTTCATTTTCGATAGGAAAAGCGTTATATTACTTATAAATTGAGTGTCTGAGAGTGCTTTACCTGGATCCAGAGCCTCCATCAGTCACTACACCACAGACCATAGTTTGATCAGTAGTTGAAAAAGCATTACTTTTGGAAATTGGACCCTTTTTCATCCAACAAGTCCCACCATTCCATTGACTCCAAGTAAAATGTGTACAACCTGGTGTGTCAACACATTTTGGACCACAAAGGTTTGGTGCAATTCGAACATTTGAAAGATCATTGTCATTGAAATCACAAGCCATAGCCCAGTTTCCGTTCCAATTGATATCGCGTTTTACAATACGAGCCGACAAAACACCCATGACCAGAAAAGAAATCACAGTTCGAAAAAACAGTATATTTCTCATTTTTTGATTCCTTTTTGGTTAGCTTATCAATATGAATCCTGAAAATAGAAATTTTAAATAAGCAAAATTCAGACTTAACGAATGATCTTCATTATTTCCGTTGGACGAATATGATTTGATTCGTGCTCGAATTTTCAACTCTGTATTAATTAGAATCGAAATCTCGGATACAATTAACATAATTCTAGTGCTCAATTTTATCTCGTTTAACTTGCATTCAAAATCATCTGCAATCTTTCTCTAATGAGAGAACATTTTCAAGTGTCTGATCGCTTTTGAGTGGAGACTACGCATCCTGTCGATCATAATATGTTATACGTAACTTAAAAAAGTCTGTGTCCATGGCTTTATGCTGCGAATGTATATTGATGACGTGAGAGAGACCAGAGGATTTGGCTCAAAGGTCGGTATGATGTGCATGGTGTCGACTTAAAAGCGATTGAACACCTGAGAACGTTTCCCCCGGTAAGTACAACCGATAAAAAAAATTCAAAAAAGCATTTGATAAATGATTCGAAATAAGTTTCAATATTATACCCTTGATTATTGCACAAATAACTATAGAAACGACTCAAACTCGTTTGAAAACATCGTTATTTATCCAAATATTCTTCTGAAATACTACCTTGTTTTTTCAACATTTCATCCTACTCTCCAAAGAAAAATAAAAACCGACTCGACTTGCCTTGTAATTATCTCTTTAAAAAAATGAAATGAGAAAAATCATTACAGTACGATAATGTTTGATTCAGCTGCCGATTCTCATAAAAGAAAGACATAAGAAAACGAATTGTTTTCTCTTGATAAGCTTTTCTATTTGATAATACCATATCAATCAAAAAAAAATTCTCTCTTATGCCTACTACATCAAAAGTCATGAAGTTCACTTTAGATAAATTGTCTTGATAATAATTCTCCAACAAAAAGAATAACTAAGTGAATTATTATCTATACTTTTCAGTATGAAGTTATTCGAATGATTCGATATCTACTTCATTCTCGTTCAAATGAAACTATCTAAAATATGAATATCAAGATAAATGAATGACGATATTCACTAAAGAAAGGGATTTACTATTTGTACAGGAAATCTTCCATACAAAGAATATTTTTATGATAACAACGTATAATATTTGTTATCAAAAAAAGGAATCTTTCTCAAAAAACATGTGACACCTTATTAGTGAGAAAAATTTCATGGAATTCTCATTCATTTTAATTACAAAATTATGCTAATATTCATATATAATTACACAAGATTATATGATAATATCAGTGAAGTGAGCAAAAATCTGAATCAGTTTAATTTTTCTAAAGAAATACACTGCAGATATTGATCAATATCGATATGGCAATAATATTTATTTCGCTGTCGACTACTGTAATTTTAACATCCATCAAGTGTAAATAATACTTTATTTCTCTTCAGTGGTTTCAACTATCATCAATACTAAGAGAAATTTATATTATATTTGCATGCGATTATCGGTCAAATAAGCTTTGACATATTAACTAAATAAAAAGTATGAATAACAAGTAAATGATTACTAATGAAACAATCCTTTTCAATGGTGCAGCTGATCGATCTGATTATTTTTTTCGATTCCATTTCTATTACACATACTGTAGTAGTAGATGCATAGAAAAAGAAAGGATTAAAAATTAGAATATTCTTTATAATTATTACGATCAGCAGAGCATTTGAAATTATGATTGTTGCTGTATGCGTCTGTAGTTAGTCATGACTCTAATTCATTCGAGCAGACGCAGATCTGACGTGTTCGAAGAAGAAGGCTGGTTCTCTTTCCGTCAGTAATCGAAAAGGCTCATCAATTGGACATTGCTTTGTCAGTAGAAAAATAATTATTATGATACGAAAAAACCACTATACAAGCTTAGTGGTACTAATGGAAAAATCCGTTGGATACTGATGACAAAAAAAGGCCTTCTGAATAGAATACAATTTCAAAACACTTACGTTTACTCGTTGTATCTATACGAAATATTGTGTGCTGACGACAAAAATATCACTGTAATATATCGACGTTTGTTGTATGTAAAAGATAAAAGCCTGACGGTGCTTATATATACATCACTGAATAAGTTTGGTTTGTATGCATTTATCTTGTTACGTTTAATTACTCATGATCACGTATTATTCAGATATATGGTTTTTTTCCCATAGAAATATTGCCTTTGCTTTGCTTGTACTATCACTCATTGATCGAATACCTTAAAGAAGGAAAAGACACAGTGAATCATAGATTGGGGAATATGTGTGGTATATCATAATGTCACTTGCTTTTTCCCCATTGTCACACACAGAATCGAGAAAATATTAGGGTATAACAATCATGTAAGGGAAGTTACCAGTCAATTTGAGTTATTTTCAAAATGATTTGTTTCATGAGACACTTCCACAGTACTGTGAGTCAGACATAGCTCAACGAATTCGATCGAATGATGAATTTAGGTTTTAAACGACAGCTGCTCGAAAAACATGAAATCTAAAAGTACGCTTTTTACTATTAATCATTATCATCTTTTAAATAGTTTAGTCGATTAATGTATAATAAGAATGAAATTGATAGTTTGAAGAAACAGAGACGATATGTCCACAAGTGACACAAAACTTTATACTTCTACTTCTATTTCAAACAAAATATGTTACTGCGTAATATACTTGAAGCTTATCATCTATTACAAGTTATTCAAACGTTGACTATGATAAAATATTTAATATAGAAAATGATTTATCTATCTTTATAATTGTTTAGCAACTATTGATGTAAATTTATTCCATCAGTATTTTTTTTTGATTGTTTAATGATAAAAATCAAAGGAAGAAGAATGGATGTTCGAGTCATTTAATTTTCATTATATCAATTCAATATCAACAATTTGAAAACGAAAAATAATAAAAAAACCTACAACTACAACATGATGATAATGATTATCATCAAGAATATTTGCATTCATAAGCAGATGACATTGAAGTTTTCACATATTCTCATATATTCCATCGATCTTTATTCATCATTTCCTGTTATCGATATCAAAACAAAATTACAACAATTAAAACTTTCGTTAACCATTTTTTTTTCATTTTCATAAAGCTCTATCACAAATTTTCTTGAGTCAGATGAAAACGACAGTTAATTCAAATTCTCAACAGTTTTTCAATCAGCTCGTGTTATTGAAGAAAAGTTTAAATTTCGTAATAAAAGTATTTAAATGAAAGAAAATGAATACATCTGTGAAAAACATTTTTTCACATATCTGTAGTTACTTTTTTTGAGCTAGTTGAACAAAGTTTGAAAGACCTATACTAACAACACTCGTATTTTATAATAAGAGAAAACAATTTCATAATGATTACTATTTAAAAAAATCTTTAGTTGTTGATTATTACTTAGAGTTGAGTGAAACCACATATCTAATAATTGAAAATATAGTACTGTATTCTATTTATCTTCGAGAAAAAGACTTTTTTACCATTAAAGTTATACGATAAAGGAGAAGTTGTAAAACATAAACGAAGCAAAATACTGTAGTGTTTCCAGTTAGCATATTTCTCTATCTTTGACTTTTTCTTTTTCTTGGTTATTTTATAACTTCCTACAATTATTCGATCTGTAGAAAATATTCCGCATACTCTGTTTGTCTTGTACCTTGTGTATAAAGGGTGTGTAATAAGCTGCTATCTTCTTTAAATAATATTCTTTTCTTTTATGTTTTTTTTTCAGTAGAATAGGCCGATATTTGCAGTCTATATGCTAGACATATAGATCTACTCTGCATTAGAATTTCAACTTTCCATCTCTTATAGTTAGAGAGATATAACTAACTTAACATTAATAGGAGTTTTTCAATGAATTTCTACCACCAGCATGGATGAAAATATTATAGTTTTTCGATAAGGAGAAAAATTGCACCATCATGCTCATAAGATGCGGAAACAATAAAACTCACGAACAAGTTACATGAACAAATCAATTGAATTTTAGTAACTAATCGAATAGATTTATTATTTTAATATTTTTTAAAAAATTTATCGGTTTTTAAATAAAGATAACAAACCCCTTTTTTTTTACATATCTAGAGTAGTACAAATTTATATTTGATAATTTATAGTTATATCATGCCAAATATTACCGAAAATAATAGAGAATTTCGATCAATTGTATCAGGTTTGAAAACGATGAAAAAGTTACTGAATCGAATAAGAACAAGAGATTGATCAAGATGATGAGCAAATACGTAAACATTGGCGCAATTTGTTTTTCTTATAATACTAAAAGAATTTCGAATTGTAAATCTCGTTCGAACCATTGTTTTCTTTTAGTATTTTTAATAAGTTGACAGAAAAATTCTCACTAATAAATCAAAAAACTCTTTTTAATTTTAGGTTACTTGTATCAGCCTATTTCACTGAGAAAATATATAAAAAAAAAGAATATTACTTGAAGGAAATCAGAGCTTATTTTTATATTAGCTTCTTCAAGTTATAGTGACTATAGAAACTACACCAACCAGGACTCCTAAGACAATATTCGAATAATAGAATACATAGCCAGAAAAACGTATAATGAGAGTAGACTTAAATACCGATAATGTTGGATTGACTGGAACCAGACTTTGAATTTCAGAAGTACTTGGTGGCATGGATGCGAATGTTGGCGGGATCCTAAATGCGTATTTGCGTGAATGCGATTCTACATGTTATATTTTTCTCTGACACAAATCTGCACATCTAGATAGGACAAATTATAATAAAGCTAATTTGATGCAATTCATCAGCTAAGGTCAATCGCACACCATCGAAAAATATCACAGATTCCGAATTAGTATTACAGAAAATGTGTCAATTACATATCAACTCTTCTTAATCACAGCAGTCAGTAAGGAAAGAAACGGAAACACATTAAATTACTGATAGTCGAAGAAAGCTTGAC